GATCTTCTATTACCTGATGCACCCCAACAATTGAAAGAGCACCAAGCACATACCAAGAGCTCAATAATATATTTGTTAGGTGAAAACCACCCACTTCACCTTTCTTTCCTACTCCCTACCACCAAGTCCCTCTTGTTCTGTTTATCCCAAAATGAGTGATTCAAAATTAGCTAATAGAATAACTTAACATCCAAAGTTAAGGAGAAAATATGTAGAAATAAATATATATGCTAAAATGTAGAGAAAGGAATTCGCATGTGGGAAAGAAATTTTGCATTACCCTCCATGGACAGAATATATAGGCCATAATGTTTAAGAAACTTCAAAGACTTCGGTACAGCATACAAGAATTACCATTCAGAAAAAGGAAATCTTTATACTGGATGTTATATATTACTGTTCCATCCATCACCCAGTGCTTTTACAGGAATCCCTACTCCTCCCCCACCCCACCCCCACCTCATTGCATGACCCACTCTTCTTGTCCACAGAGAGAAGTTCTCCTTGATCTTCTCCTCACCCACCAAGTCCACAGCCCCCATGCTCTCCGACATGCTGGATAAATCCACCAAAATGTTAAATAATATCAAAATAATCACTCAGGCAAATACAAAAATAAGGAGATATTTAACATAATTAAATGAAATCTTAATATCTCAAGCCAAACAATTTGCATTTATTAGATATTTCACAAATTTCAGAGCCTCCCAAGGATACATGAATAAGTATATAACTTACTACCACGTAAACAAAAACACTCAGCAAGGGATCCTTCCCTTGAATAAAGAGCTTCCTCCAAAAGCTAAATTCTACTACCCACCCATAGTGCCACAGGACATGAGAGGTACAAATAAGTAGGAGAAAGAGGAAAATAGAATAAGAAAGAGAGAGAGAGAGAGAGAAAGCAGTTTTGTCCTCCTTCTAGCAATCAATGCTTCAGAAAATAATGGGATTCAGTCTCAGAGTCCTATGCTACATTACTCTTAAACAAACTTAAAGTTAGATGTGTAAGCAAGCATACGCCCAGGAAATGCTAGAACTTCTCAAGCCCACCCATACTCCATTAGTTGGCTTTTGAATTTCAGTGCAGCTGAAGAGGCTGCATAATCACTGTGTCTCTCACGGCACAGAGGTAAGAGGCAGAGTCTTTCATCTGGAGCTCCTTCAGAAGGAAGTAACTGTACCCAGCAGAGCGATTAAGGAATGAAGAAAAATGACCTCTCCCCTCCAAACCATCCAGAACACCGTTAAGAGAGAAATATGGGTGCTCTGCCGTCATATTGCTGGTACCAGGACAATCCATTGAACCCAGATGTCCGATAGATGAGGTTGACCTGGATGAAGGCTCCTTCCACAGCTGTCAACTCACTGGGCTGCTCAATGCTTTGTCCTGCAATGCCTATGACAAGACACATCATTATTAAAAAGGATAGTTTCCATGTGGTCACAAAAGAACTGCCACTGATGGGGGAGAAATAAATGATGGCAGACGTGGCAGCAGCAACAGTAACAGGAGGACGATTAGCACCACATAAGGAAAATGCTTATAGCAAAGGCTGTTTCATTACAAATGTCAAAAGTTGCAATTGTTTCATTGGAAGAAGTATTTTGAAAACTTCCAGCAGCATTTGCTATTCTGTTGAGACTTACCTCCCATCTTCAGGGAAACATAAAGAAGGAAAAATCCCCACATCTGCTGCAGCACCCCACGAGCCTGGCCCTGCATCCCTGGTTTCTGAGCCACTGGAGTCTGCAGAAGGTAAACCCTCCATGTGGGTGAGGGAGGGAAGCTCAACCTGGATGCAAAACCCAGAAGAGGAGGGGATGGGTATATTCACACCTAATGGGTGTGGTGCACACCCTCTGGGGGATGGAGACACTTGAAGCTCTGACTCGAGCGGGGCAAAGACAATATATGCAACCTAACCATTTGTACCCCCATAATATGCTGAAATAAAAATTAAAATTAAAAAACCAGAAGAAACACCAGGGAGGAGCTCCTTTTTTGCCAGGGTGACTGTAAGCTTCCTGCACAGGAGCAGCTATGGGTTCCCTTGCAGGAGTCCCTTCACGTGAACATTTCTACCGATAAATCCACAGTCCAAGTGATTGTGGTGAATACTGTACAACAGAATTATGTGTAAAGAACAGTGAAGACAAATGAGAGCATAAGATAAAGTCAAAAGTGGTCAATTCAACTATATTGACAGTTTTCTTTCTCATGACACAACAAAATTAAATACTGACATAATTAAAGGTGAGTTATATGTGTGCATATATTCAATATTGTAGGTTTGTGAGTCATATATGTTTCTAAAGCTAGAAAGAGAAGGGAATTTACCTACCAGTTAAGTGTACTTGCAAAAGTTAATACAGAAATAATCTTCAAAAGATTCAAAAGTAAGTTTCGGAGTGATGAGTATTAAATAATATTGTTATCGTAAATGTATAAACTTTTTTTTTTATTTCAGGAAATTACGGCGGTACAAACATTTTGGTTACATGTTATGACTTTGCCACATCCCAACCATGATTTGAGGCATGCCCTTTTCCCCCTACAACACTCATTGAGTCCATTAGTTGTGAGTTTACCCACCCCCAACTCCCCTATCCCCAAAGAATATTACTACTGTAATGTATGTATAAACTTTTAAAACAGTGGGAATACACACAGTAAACTACTAACATGTTATGTTAGGGGTTGCAGTGGGACAGTTGAGTGAGTTAATCTTTTTCTTTTTTTACTGGGATCTCACAAGCTGAAAAGTGAGTTAATTTTTTTTCTTGTACATTTCTGTATCAGTTAATGTTAAAAATGAGTGTGTTTCATTAAGTGATTTTAAAAAAACTAAAAGTAAATGAAAACTGAAAGGAAAGAAGAGTGATACAAGAGGAAGAAAGAAACGAGAAGAAGGAAGGGAGGAAAAAAAGAAGAAAAAGGAAAACTTCAACAGTATCTTAAGCTATTTATTAAGATGTCCCAGAAAGAAATTTCTTGTTATCTCTGATAAATATCTTTCGTATCAATTGGCCTCTCATTAATACTATTTAATATCAAAAACAGCTACAATAAAAAGATGGACAATAATAAGTGTTGGTGAGGATGTGGAAAAATTGGAAACTTCATACATTACTTGTCGAAACGCAAAATGGTGCAGCCACTTGGAAAATAGCTTAGCAGAGGCCCGGCGCGGTGGCTCACGCCTGTAATCCTAGCTCTCTGGGAGGCCGAGGCGGGTGGATTGTTTGAGCTCAGGAGTTTGAGACCAGCCTGAGCAAGAGCGAGACCCCGCCTCTACTAAAATTAGAAAGAAATTAATCGGCCAACTAAAAATATATACAAAAAATTAGCCAGGCATGGTGGCACATGCCTGTAGTCCCAGCTACTCGGGAGGCTGAGGCAGTAGGATTGCTTGAGCCCAGGAGTTTGAGGTTGCTATGAGCTAGGCTGACGCCACAGCACTCACTCTAGCCCGGGCAAAAAGAGTGAGACTCTGTCTCAAAAAAAAAAAAAAAAAAAAAAAGAAAATAGCGTAGCAGTTCCTCAAAAAGTTAAACAGATTTACTATATGACCTAGCAATTCTGCTCCTAGGTATATACCCAAAAGAAATAAAAACGTATGTTCACACAAAAACTTGCTCATGAACGCTCAGAGCAGCATTATTCACGTTAGGCAAAGAGTGTAGATAACTTAAATGTCCCATAAACTGATACGTGGATAAACAAAACATGGTATATCCATAAAATGGAATATTATTTAGCCATTACAAAGAATGACGTATTGGTACATGCTTCAACATGGATGAGCCTGGAAAACACTATGCTAAGTAAAAGGAGCCAGACACAAAAGGTCACCTATTGTATAATGCCATTTATATGAAACGCCCAGACTAGGAAAATCCATAGAGATAGAAAGTAGATTAATAGTTGCCAGGAGGTGGGGGCTTGGGGAGAGGGGAGAAGGAAAGGGAGTGACTACTAATGAGTATGGGATTTCATTTTGGAGTGATGAAAATGTTCAGGAATTAGACAATAATCAATATACTAAGAACATCAAATTATATACTTAAAAGGGGTGAATTGTATGATATATGAATTAATCTCAGTAAAGCTTTTTAAGATTTATTTAAATCAATGTTGATACATATTAGAGAATTTCACTACACTTGAAATCAAAGTACTATATATTTTTTTAAAGGCCATCTATCAAGCCTTGCCATGAGCACAGTTCTGCTTTTGGAATCTGCTGACTGACTGGCATTTTGAATCTTTGCTGCTCCTTTCTGTCAGAAATCAGACACAGAGTCAGAATCATCTTCCCTTGTGGAAAACCTGTGGCATCAAGAGTGTTAAAACTACTCCTGGGTCCATGTTGACTTCAGGCTGTCCTTGATTTTCATACGTATATATTAAGACTCCTTGTGTATGCTGAATTCAGTCTCTTGCACAACAGCAGACTTTTGTGCACCAGTAGATGGATAGCAAATGTAGAGGGAGGATGCTGCCTGCCTCCTCGCCTTACTCAACTTTGTCTAAACAGCATTGTTTGTGCATTTTGCCCACGTTTTATACAAATTAGTAGAAAATAGGAAACAAATTTTTAGTGTCATTGATGAAAAGATTGAAATAAACTATATGCAACTAGGATAAAGATAGAAATATCATGCTTTTTGGCTTAAAAAATAGAAATAAACATGGGCTGTAAACAAAAAAATCAAAGGCAATTTTTGTCCGTTATGAACCCTGTGAAATCATTGTTCTCTATTTACTGCACCTAGTAGGCTATAGCATCTTATAGTGTAATAAATATGATACTGCCATCTTGTGAAACCACGAATCATTGCCATTTTACATGCACATCACCAAATGATTAATATTTTCTTTCCCTATCAAAAATATAAAAATTTAGAATCGAAATAAAGTTTAAAACCATTTAGGCCTTTTCACTTGTCTCATTTTGCAACTGACATGTAAAACTAGACCAGGCAGCAAAATTCCCCACGAGGCTCTGTTCCTGAATCTGAAACTAGGTTTCTCCTCAAACATTGTTCAAAATATGATCAACCATTGTGAAATAAATAACTCCCTGCTACTATTCCGAATTAGCAGCATAGTTCCACATTGTTCCTGGAAAGTTGCATTCTCCCCACTCTGAATCTAGGTCTTTCCTCTCTCTCACATGCAAGATTCATTCTCATTTCCCATTCTAGCATGACTGACATCTCTTTTGGAAGAACAAAGCCCTGATCCATAAAAAATACATTGTATATTACATATCATGTATCTTATAAACTTTATCCACATCATTTCTATTTTCACCATCCCTTCTATGCCAAAATCCTTCAAAGATTACTGCTATGCTGAATTGAGTGGTCTGGATGAAAAGCAGCTTGATTACAGTTATACCTCTGCAATTTGGAGCATCTGTCCCGGTGTCCCAATTCGGAGCTCATATTTGAATCGCCATGTGCTTTCCCTGTCCACAGACATCCAAGGCATCTCTCTCCACTGGCACTGATCGGAGGCTCCCACTGAGACTCAGGCACTTCTGGCTTGCTGTCTCTTCAGGCAAAGAGGTCCTTTCCACCCCCCAAGAAGAATTAACAGGTGCTGATCACTGGAAGCACACCCAAGGGAGGGAGCTCGCCGAGACAGCGGTAAGGGATAACAGGGGATCTGGGCAGAGTTTCCGCGTTGTCTACCACGGTCTATCTCTGTACATAGATGCACAAGTGATCAACCTACAATTTCAACCTGACTGTGACATTCTCCTACTTAAAGCTTTCAATGGCTCCCCAGCCCCTATAAAGTAAGGACAGATATTTATTCTGTTGTCATATAAAACCCCAACTATATCTCACTTTAATTCCATTCACAACCTAAGCTGCAGATATTCTGAATTACTTGCCTTTTCCCACTCATGCCAGGCTGCTTCAGGTCTTCTTGCTTTTGCTCAAACTTTTTCGTCTGTTGAAGAGTCCCTCCATTTCTACTCATCTTTCAAGGAGCAGCACAAGAGTTACCCACTCTGTGAAATTTTCCTAGCCTCTCCCTCTAACCCCACTAAAACCATCAGCAGACATAGCAACACTCTTCTTTGTGGTCCCTCTCTAACCTATAGTTAATATATTCTTCCCACCATAATCTTAACTTCTTAAGGATGAGATATGACTAACCAACTTTTGTTTCCCCAAATAAATATCTGTGTGTATATATAGTCATTGATGATCTTAAAAACAGAGGTTTTATGGAAGTGGAGGAGGAGGGAGGGAAAATCTACTTCACTAAATTTAATAGGTAAAGTCAAGACAATGAATATTAATGAATATTAAGTAATCTTTGAAGGATTTTGGCATAGAAGGGATGGTGAAAATAGAAATGATGTGGATAAAGTTTATAAGATACATGATATGTAATATATGATGTATTTTTTATGGATCAGGGCTTTGTTCTCCCAAAAGAGATGTCAGTCATGCTAGAATGGGAAATGAGAATAAATCTTGCATGTGAGAGAGAGGAAAGACCTAGATTCAGAGTGGGGAGAAAGCAAGTTTCCAGGAACAATGTGGAACTGAGAGTGGAAACCTCCCAAAATTATAAAAAAAAAAAAGTGAGGCCGGGCGCGGTGGCTCACGCCTCTAATCCTAGCACTCTGGGAGGCCGAGGCGGGCGGATTGTTTGAGCTCAGGAGTTCGAGACCAGCCTGAGCAAGAGCGAGACCCCGTCTCTACTAAAAA